GCAAAGCTACTTATATGGTTCTCAATGCCATCGGATAGCGATATTGTCGGCGGTCTAGAACTTGCGAAGCCCCAAACCCTAATCCTTTCTCGGGTCTTGGGGGCTTGTTCGGGCAATGGCAGCCTTAATCGGCCTAAGGGGACCCTAACCTAGATGCCCCTAAACCCTAAAACCCTAAACCCAAGACGCCCCTGGAATCCTCACAGCACACAGTGCACACCATCTCTTTCCCCGACGGCGACGTCGATTCGAGCTTCAACGGCCCGGAGCTTACTGCAGAAAGGGCTGCCATTGTCTTCTGTATTGAGACAAACATCGAGCAATCGTTCGAGGAACCACTAGCCACTGGTGACATCTTCTAGAAGACCTTGACACTCGACCGATCCAATCCTCATCGCTCCAACAACTCCAGCCTAAGTGGCAAGCGATGCTCATGATGTCAGTGTCGATGCTCATGCATGCACTATAGTTGACAAGGGGCTCATCGTATTCATGATCCAGCTAGAACCGTTGTCGATCGGCCACTGAAGCTCCAGGCTTAGATGCACCAGAAAGATTGAGGCCCATCTATCGGGTGCGATGATGCATATCTGCTATGGACTCCAACGGCCTAGTGCTCGATAGACCTATAAAGGCTTCCTGAAATGCAAAGTAGGAACACCAAGTGCGCCTGAAGATGCATCTTCGGCCGCAGCCGAAATAAACACCATTGTCTCTCCGCCGACATCCTCGCCAAATGGTGGTAGCCTTCCTTAATTGGAGTTTGCCAGACCAGCTCTAGATGACTGAGTGAGACGGAGTGAATGAAAGAGAAACAGATCGAGAGAACAAACTTGTGGGTCGTACTGCTTATAAATAATCCGAGGGTCTAGCATCTTCCACCCACATTCTACTGCAGTCACAGCTTCAGATCTTGGCAGGAAAACCCCACCCCTATAAAGTACCCGATAGTAGGTGTTGACAGCAAGCAAGGTCCATCGTAGCAGCTTGAAGATTTCTTGGTTGATGGGTGCCTCAGGATCGAAACACGAATCGCGCGACGTTTGACTTATATTAACGGTACCTGCCAGATATAAAAAGGCTGAGGCACAATCGTCGTGATATCGACGTCGAGGCAAAGGTTCTCCAACCACCCCAGCACAATGGAGCAATCATGCCCCTTCCCAGATCCAGCCGGGAATTGATTCAACCTCAGTACAATTACTAAGTGCTATCTGATTTATATCGATAGTCATACTTGAGTCATAACCTTTAGGCTAGACATAGGGCATAAACTATACATGCTGGTGCTTTCTATAAGGAACGAATCGATCTTCATCATCTTCAAGCTAAACTCCGTGATTGAAGTGATTTTTCCATGAGATCTGCAGTAGTCACGGAACATTTGGAAAGCATGGTCCAAGCAGCTTGGAATTGTTGCTTCTTTGAAAACACCCAAACGAAGAAGGAGTATCAGGCTTGAAGCGCCAAGCGAAGTTCCCCAACCGTTGATCGCATATGTGTGTGCCGGGTCAGGCTTGACCCGGCGAGGATCAGTGCCGATGGTTGACAAACCCTGAAAAGGCCAATCCCCTGGCCAGAAAGGATCATCGATCGGGTCATCGTGACGAATAGATCGCACTGGGCTTTGTTTCGAGAGGTCGCCCCAGTTCTGGGATGGAACACAAGACATAAACATAGGAGACTTCATAGAAGAGTACTCGGTTTGTGCATAAAAGCAGAACTTCGTGCAAATAAGACCGAGAGTCGTCGCAGGAACACAAGTGACAAATACGTTTGGAAGTGAATCCACTGTACAGGTGACAGCTTTTTCGCAGAAACGGCCAATCTCCTTTGATGGCGGTCACGACCAGATACAGCCGATGCTTCACCCCAGCAATTGTCACCTCATGTCGATACATACATGTGCATTGATAAACTACAACTGATCGACATGTTGTAGGATCGAGAATATGACAAGTCACCTCGACACCTTCCTTGTAGACGTTCTCTAGATCTTCGCACAATGCATATAGCAGTGTATCCAGAGTGTCGCTGGCGTACATCTCACTCGGCACAACCGTGTAGAGAAACCTGCTGCAGTAGCTGTGCCTGTGGTACAACAATTCCATAAGGTTCTGCTCCGGCCAAACCAAGCCAAAACAACCCCCTAGCAACCCAAAGGCCCAAAGGCAAAACCAAACACTAGCTAAATAAGCTTGTGCTAAATTCTGCTCCGGGCCCTGATGTATTTGTAACTGCCGCACCAAGGTAGCTGATCAGTGTTTGAAATCCAATGCACATAGTCGGGCGCTTAGCCTTGCCTCGCCCCTCGTCCCCATGAATTGCAACCGGTACGGAGGTCCGTGGAAACGGAACCTCGATCTCAGGTTGGGGCCCGCGGAACTTGCACCAGAAGTCCTCCAACATGTTTTGCCAGTCTGCGACCAAGCCGATATTGATACCGCCCAATAAAATTTCACTGCAATGTTCCAACATGTACTTGACCCAACTTGAAGGCTGTAGGGTAGGGTAGTCCATGGTCTCAATCTTCGGTTTTCCTTTGAGCAGTCGGACCCTTGTAGGTATTTGGGATACTTGGACTCGAAGAATCCGGCCCTCTTGGTGCATCAGCTTGTGGAGATTCCGGCTGCAGTTTGCTTGAGATCTCCCCCCAGAGCCACAAGAAGCAGGTCTGTTCAAAGCAGGGTCGGTGGCGCCTTCACTTCGGATGGGTTGCACTTTGTTTGGTCTTGGGTTCTGGACATGGACGAAAACCCTAGAAGTCTAGGTGCTATGCGGTCATCTGATGAAGCTGCCCAAGCATCCGAAGCCACCCCGGTCCTAGATCTATATATACCATACAGCCTTGAACCCAAAAATGACTACACCCAAATCAGAAATCGAGGCACCGTACTTCCTCAAAGCTCTGGAAGCCACTTGTGCCACACGTACCACCCGCTTGGCGCTGTCAACCTCAAATTCTGAAAAGCCTTATGGACAAGCTAGCCTATAGATTTGAGCCAGGCAACACCCTGTTCGAAGCCGTAATACAGCTCATCCACCAGGTCGTCATCCGTGTCATCCTCGTCCGTTCCTGCGAAGAACAGGCCACTGGAAAGTGATGGGTTTTTGGTGCTTAAGGTTTGGGATGTCTTGGAATGTTTGGCTTGAGATTTATGCGGGCTTGTTTGGGCTCTGGATTACAGGTGGTTTATACGCTTTCGGGTTCCAACCGAGCTACCATAGGCATCGATTTATTATAGCCACGTAGTTTATGGTGCTAGGGTTTGATAGGGTTTATGGGTTTCGTAGGTAATAAATTAAGACTGTCCGTCTTTAGCATAGTACTAGTAGTTTAGGGTGCTAGGTTTGATAGGGTTTGGTGGGAAACAAACAGGACTGTCCTTGTCTCACCGGCTCGGTGCCACGTTCCAGCAGCCCTGCGTGGGGGAATAGTTTGGCTAGATTGCAATTAAGACATGATATCAGACGGCCAATAGTAGCTTTCACGAAAGATTTTGCCAACACGAGCTGCCCCTCGGTCCCTCAGCTCGAAACTAGAGCCCTCGGCGTGCACACGATTGGTGCTCCCAACAGATTAGAGGCCACTTGCACAGCAACGACATGCAGCTGGATGCCACGACTAGCTTACAAGGGTTACATTATATCTTCATCGTTGCAAGGCCGCCTCGTGATGCCTATTGCATCCAGCAGAAAAAAGCCCGCACTTTAAGCGCGGGACTTCTTACCACCCTTAGCAGGTGTAGCAGTCTTCTTCTTTCCCGCTTTCTTGGGGCTCTTCTTGGGCTTGGGCTTCACCCCAGCAACAGATCTCGCACCCTTGATGCTCCTCGGGACACATGCTGCCTATTAATGCATAAACGATCACTGAAACAGTTGCGGATAGGATACCTGGCCCGTACCGCCAGATTGTTCATCACGAGATCCTGCTTTGTGATGTTGGCGTAGAGCTTGAGCAGGGAGTCGTTGTAGGCCCTGGGCTAGGCAGGGTCGGGATGATATAATACGAAACAATGAAGCGTTAAGACACGGGCTTGTCAGGGTGCCGGTTGATAGCATCTGCTTGCTTGTTCTGCAGCTCCTTGAAAAAGCCTTTGAGAGCCTTGAGCGACTCCTTGATTTGATCTCTGAGCCTTAGTTTCTAGGCCGGAAGATGTAAATATGCAACCGCACAATAGATATCACGTAGATATTGGAGAGGAACCCGGAAGCTCGTGCACCATCAGCAGCTGCCAACTTTTCCTGCGACACAATTAATTAAATTAGATTTGTTCTAGAGCATCAGTTGAAGAAGTGGGGTTTTCAAGGTTGAAGGCTTCGGGGGATTATGGCTTTAAGGTGTTCAAGGCTTTCGGGTTTGGTGGTTTAAGAAGCTAGCAAAATAGGTTAGGGGTCAACACGTGTGTGGTGCAGGCACTTGGGGCTTCGGGTTTTTGAACTCGCGGTCCAAGACATCCTCAGTGCAGTCGATTTTTTTGCCCAGTATCTCTAGATACCCAGCCAAAATCGCCAACGGAGACGTGTTCTGCTGCAGGCTGGGGAAGGTGATCCTTAATTTTGGCATTCAGAAACCCGAATCTAACGAAACCATTGAACTACGATGCGGTGCATGCAATGGAGTTCAGCCGAAACACTTAAAGCTCGCAGCCGAGCTGAAAGATTCGAGAGCCTTCCCTGCATCCCCTGCACTTGCGGAGGGGGCCCCGATCTTGCCGGCCAAGACATCTGCATTGGAGGCATGCACCGAGGGGAGGTCGTCCTTCAGCAAGAACCCACTCTCGTCCTGAAAACGTTTGATGTTGAGGATCTAGGACTTGGGGGTTTGGGTTGAGCTGTTTAGGGTTTGTGTTTAGGGTTTAGGTTTAGGGTTTAGGTCTAAGTTTAATATTAATTTTGAGGTTGGGGTTGAGGCTTTGGTAGCAAAGGCTAGTAAGGCTAGTAGCGTAGCCTAGGTTGAGCACCGTGGGCTATGGGAGGCCTCAAGGCTCGATCTTATACTAGCATCGCAACCTGGGCACCTCCATTTCCACTGATCCGTTCATGCTGATCTCCTGCCCTTCTTCATCAAGAAGATCGAAGTCTTCGGACAAAATCAGCTTGGCTTCCTCCTCCCCATGAACCTCGTTCTTTCGCAGAACCTTGTGCTCATTCGCCCACACCCAGGCCTTCTCAACCATGGGCCTCGCTTAAGTTCTGTATACTGTGGGGTTTAGCATAAACAAGTGCACAGCAGTAGGCTAATTAAGTCAATCGCCGCGTCCAGTGGCAGTGGCCCAGCAAGTAGGCTTTCGTCACGTAGCTACTGCGCTTGGCCAAGATTTTTTTCTTGAGGTGGAACTTACGGAGGTTCATCTCGAGACTCTTGAAATTGCCATGCTTCTTGAGGAGCTCCCTAAGTTGTTCTCCTCAGTGCTCCCAGTAATGCCCCGAAGCACATTTAGTGAATCAACTACATCGATCGCTTCACACAGGTATTACAATCACGGGGCGGCCGGCTTCCGACTTATACATCTCCAAGGCCTGCTCGGAGCACTTCAGCGAGCCGCAAGCCTTCGGTTCGAAATACCGCCGAAGCCTGCGATTGAAGTTATAGGGCTTTAGGGGTTTCGGGTTTAGGGGTTTAGGATTTAGGGGTTTAGGATTTAGGGGTTTAGGGGTTTCAGGGATATAAGCAAAAGCGGTTGGGTCCAATCATCAAACACCAGGCATGCAAACCTTTATGTACTTCTAGCTGGGTCCTCCAGTAGCTTGGAGACTTTGAGCGCTTTCGTGCGATTGCGGGACCGGGAGGGGCCACATCACTGGCACTTGGGCCGGGGCTCGAGTCTTGGGAGTTGAGGCGGGTCGGGCCTGTGGTAGGCTTCGGGGATCGGACACCGGTAGGCTTCGGGGATCGATCAGTGGTAGGCTTTGGGGATCGGTCAGTGGTAGGCTTTGGGGATCGGTCAGTGGTAGGCTTCGGGCATCCGACATCGGCTGGCGGGGCGTTCAGCTTGGCAGCTTTCGAGGGTCGGGGGCAAGGCTTAGGTTCCGATAAAGCTTCCGCAGCATCAGCCGGCAGTGGCTTCTTCGGCGTCACGAAAGTCTCCTTGACACGTTTCGGTTCCCTGCGCTGGGCATCCTCAACTGCACTGTCATAGGAGTCGAGGCTTGATGCTGTTACGATGTTCTTGCTGAGGGCTGCCGGTGCCTCACCCAAACCAACCTTGTGGTTCCCAGCCAACTCATATGTGGAGGTTGCTCTGGCAATAGCAGGCCCTAGGCTAGCAAAACCATTGCAAATCATGTGCTCAACTTACACCCAACACTCGATCAGTCTAACGCTGCCAATGCACCTACAGGTGCTGCGTCGCTCCGGGGCGATGCAGGCTTGGGTCCACGTGCTGCAAGCTTTTCCTGCAGTTGACTGATCCGGGCTTTGGCAGCCTGGGCTGTTTAGGGTTTAGGGACTAGGCCGGGTTTTAGGGACTATAGGGTTTAGGAGGATTTAGGGTTTAGGCCGGGTTTAGGGATGGGTTTAGGGTCTAGTAGGGTTTAGGGATATACCCCGAACATAACCCAAACTTAAGCCAAGCCTATATTACAACTCAGACAGGGGACAGCAATCAAAGCAGATACATCTTGGGAAGCATTCGGGGCCGCCATGGTGTTCTGGGCCAAAAGAGGAATCCCTGCTACAAGGGTGCCGCACGAACCTTGTCGTGAGGTCATATGCAGTCCTAAGCTGCAAAAATGGATCTAGATCCTGTGAACAGGCAGACAACAAACAAGGTCCTCAGGCAGCAGAGGCATGTACATCGATCTAGGCAGTGTCGATCCCCGTATCAAAGTGCTCTTTGCTGCACATCGCAAGTGGAAAGCAGGCTGCTCCAGTCTGTCCCTAGCTGCTATACAGCCAGACTAGTGAAACAGCTCCGAATTTCAGGATTTTTTAGGGATTTGGGTGATTTGTGTCGTTTAGGGTGGTTTTAGGATTTGGGTTTGTAATGGTTTTTGGGTTTGCGCACGGTTGCGGGTATTTGCGCGCGGTTTGCGGGTATTTGCGCGCGGATTGCGGGTAAATCTGTTCGAGCATTTTTGCTAAATTAGGATCTAGCACCCAAAACCGAAAAAAACCTCTACAGAAGCTAAAATAGCCAGCCGGCACCCAAAGACACCTGCCTGGCCTTCTAATTAGAGCCCCCAGACCCTGGCCCCGAACCTGCCTCAGGGACCTGGCGGGCCCTTCAAAAGACACTCAGACGTGGCCTGGAGCCTCAGCAGCTGTCTCCAGGGCATTCCGGAGGGGCTGGGAGCCGCAAGCCTGGAGCTAGGGTTTCTGGTGCTTTTGTTCTAAAGGGTTTCGGGGTAAAGGGTTGCGGGCTAAAGGGTTGCGGGCTAAAGGGTTGCGGGCTGAAGGGTTGCGGGCTCAAGGGTTTCGAGGCCTTGGTTGCAGTTTGCTATTTTGGATCCAATCACCTATTAATTATTAGGACCTAATTAGTACCTAGGGTTTCGGGCTTCCAGGCTGGATGGTTGGAAGCAGGAAGAGTGTTTCTAGGGTTCGGGCATAGCTCATTGTCCCTAGCTATATTTTAAAGTACCCCTAGGTATCATCCAAACCCAACACAACTTAGAACCCGCAATCTTTAGCCCCGGCTACGAACCAACTCTAGAGCCCTAAACCCTAACAGCCCTAACACCAAACCCTGAACTCAAGTGCCGTGACGCCTACTCCATATCAGGCCACCAACCATAGCAAAACTCCTGGGGGACCACAAATTCTGAAACACTGGAGCCCGAAGCATGTTAAGTAGAAGACCCGATAATGCAATCTAGGTAGCATTCTCTAGAACTTCCTCCTTGAAGGACATCATCACTGGCTCCCAGGATTCAGGAATCCTGAGAGAGGACATGCTAGGACAAACCACCATCTATTCTGTCGGCAACAACAGTATATGAATTAATGCAGATAAGGATCATACAGTGCTTGGATTGAATCAAGTACAGAAACACTTCATGAATTCTGCTGTCAACCCAAAGATCACCCAACGGCATTCCCAGAAACAGCTCCTTGTCACTCTGCGAAAGGTCGAGGCTTCTCCTCGGACGGGCGTCGGCTCGATGTTCCGGAGGCAGAGCTTGCCAGGCTGTATAAGCCTTCAAGAGGTTGGCCCCAAAGGTGCTGGTGTAGGCCCTGAGGACAGTCGGTCTGTGGGCTGTGGTTTCAGATGGATGCTGGGCTTGGGTTCCATATAGCCAAAGCGGGGAGAAAATAATATTACATATTCCAGGATTCTAGGATATACGGGGTTGAAATCTAAGGTCGCTTAGGGTCTTACATCATGAGTCGAGACTCCCACTCTTTTTCAAGGCTTCCTTGTTACCAGAGTATCGCGCCACACCGTTCTTGTCGATGAATCTACCTGATGAGCAAAAGTTTGGAGTTGTCGTTTGGCTTCGGGTTAAATATTATTGGGCTTGCATGGGTTTGGTAAATGCACCAAAGCCACGAACGGTTTGCACAGACGTCCTTCTCTGTCGCTCGGCTTTTCTCAAAGGCCCCAAGTCTAATGCAGAAACGGTGGCCATCGACGACCACAGTGTCGTTCTTTTTGGGCAAGGAGCATCATGTAAGGCCATCCACAACGATTGTTTGTAGACCTTCCGGGTAAAGATGGCAATCGATCACTACTTTAAGGGTTTAGGGGTTTAGGGGCTTAGGGGTTTAGAGGCTCAGGGGTTTAAGGGCTTAGGGGTTTAGAGGCTCAGGGGTTTAAGGGCTTAGGGATTTAGAGGCTTAGCGGGCTTAGGGGTTTAGGGGTTTAGAAGTTTAATGCGGGTCTCGTTTCGGGTAGTGTGAGTGTGTGTGCGTGTGCGTGTGCGTGTTTGTTTGTTTGTGTGTGTGTGTGTCTGTGTGTGTTTGTGTGTGTGTGGGTGTGTGTGTGTGTGTGGGTGCGACAGAGAGTGAGGGAGAGAGAGAGAGATTGAGTGTGTGTGGGTACGTATGTGTGTGTTTGTGTGGGACACCCAGCCTTTGCAACCCGGTTGCACAGCCACTCCCACCTACTGTAAGCCGACAGCAAAGAGCCATGTGGCTGCTCCAGCAGCCAGACACCGTTCCGGCACATAATCAATAGTATAAGTAACACACACCTTAGAGCAGAGGCTATCCGGGTTTTAAGCTTGATCTATGGCTATTAGGCTATAACTATGTGGGAAGTACATTACTTGCAGCAGAAACTCCGAGAAACAGTGCAGTTGTTGCGATCCACCCAGGGTAAGGACTGTCTTCCAGCAGGGTTCAGAGCGGATCTCATCGATGTTCCTCGTGTGGTGACCACCCAACTACCACAGTCGGGGGCCAGGAGGTTCATGGCATCGGGGACTTCACACATGATGACATACATTGCCAGCCTCAGATATTCTTCTAAGCTTTGTACGGACCCAGTGATGCTTGGCGCACACACACACACATATGATAGAATTAGCTACACCTACAGCTCCAAATATCCAGCTAGCCACGCGAAGCCACCGTTGGATAGAATATCCATGGGGCCGCCGTAGAGGCAATCAAAGGAGGCAATAGTGTAGCCTTGTTCATGCCTGGGATCAACTAGCATTCTGCTCGAGACATGATCCGAAATACTGGTCTTAGTCTAGCAGCCAATACTTGGACACGGCCCCCTCCCCGGCAAACACCTCGAAGAAGTGGTAGCGATCGTCGAAGGTTAGGTTGGTCATCCATCGAAGACACAGGGCCTACAGGCATTATACAGTCCGATAAAGTCTCCGATAGAGAACAAAGCTAGAACATGCAAGCATCAGCCAGGACCCCAGGCTGTGGCGATGAACACCTAAGCTGCATAGCTAGCCGGATTGTCAAATGCACAACATAGGGACTTGATCGAAATAAGCCCATATCAACTTGTTTGCAATCAAAGCACCTTCGGAGCATTTAGCTGTGCTAAATTGACAACCAACGAGTGGCCATGAAGAGCCATGGCAGAAGCCGACTTCGTCGACTTTGTAAGCTAGCTTATGAGCTTGAACAGAACCAGCATAAAGTAGAGTTCATGTGGACCCCGAGCATGCATCATCAACCGGGCAGGGCAGCTGCAAAAGGGCAAGGACGGCGAACCCGCGATGGAGGCCCGCACAGCCCATGCCTCCGGCATGGTAATCCTGTGATGCACCAGGGTAGCTTGATCATCTAGGAGACGGGACATGTCATTGCAAGATGCACATGTGCTGCATGTGCACTCGATCATTTTCGCAGCAGTGCCGAGAAGCTTGGAACATGATCTCAAGAGAGCCCCCACTGATTTGCAACGGGTCTGTTGCGATGCATACTTAAACATATGCCGCCCCGTAGCAGCATGATAATGAGGCCTTGGCCTCGCACACTGCGTCCCAAGAAGTCCGAAACGGACCAAAATATGTCACTGCTCAAAATCGTGTACTGGTACCATGATTCCAGGAAGTCGATCTAGTCCGTCTTTGCGTAAGCCTCAGATACATGTCAGTTCAGTGCATGCATGATATGCATACATGCATGATAATACTGCACACATAACACATAGGTACACATGAACATTGCACACACAGCCTAGGAACTGCCTTTGCCATTGCTCGGCACTCATCCTCACTTTTACCCTGGGCCTGGCCTTCCTTCATGGCTTTGTGGTATGCCACCGACTTACGTGATAGCCTAGCTTTGCGCTCCGTCTCGTCGTTGCTAGCACCTGCTTTCGCCTTGGACTTAGCAGGGGCCTTGGCCTTTGCTTTGGTTTTGGGTGTTGCTTTGGCTTTGGCTTTGGCCTTTGCACTGGCCTTGGCACTTGCTTTGGGCTTGGGTGCTGTTTCTTCGGGCTTGGCACTTGCTTTGGGCTTGGCTGCTGCTTTCTGCTTCGTGCTTTCCTTCGGCTTGGCACCTGCTTTGGCTTTCGGGGTGATTGTTGGGCTACGTTTGCGCTTGCGGGTCTCAGTCTTTGCTTTCTTCTTCTTGCTAGCCTCATGCTCCTCCTCCATAGAATCGCTGCGGCTCCTCTTTGCACGTGCCTTAGCCTTGGGCCTGCTGCAGGGAATGGGCTCAGCTTTCTCATCCGACGGCTCATCCTCACTGGAAGCCTCTTTCTCAGTCGGGGTAATCTCACCATCCTTGGCATCATCTTTTTCATCATGCTGATTGCCACCACCTCTGCTGCCTCC